ACTCCTGCACGTGCGTAATTATGTGGGCGACGCTCGCCCAGCAATCGTGACAAATCGCGTGCATAGTTGTGCGCGCGTGTGCGTGCGTTGTTCGTCGCATGATGTGCGCAACGGATATGCGCATGGATGATGCGCGGTTGGCTATAACATATTCGTCGTCGATGGTCGTTGTCTAAACGAGCCCACACCGCTGAGCGCGCCCAGTGGAGTTGGTTAATGGCCGCGCCTCATTGTGGCCGTTCGCAAAACCAGGGCCTCGCTCGAGCGGCGGCCCCGACATCGCCTAGGCCGCCACCGCAGGCAGCAAGAGCAAGCGGCGAACGCCGCATACGAAATAGGCCCTATCGTCCACCATGAGATTGGGGCGCAACTTCCATGAGGAGCGGTGCTTCTCGCCGCGCCACACTTGGTCTTCGCCCAAGGCCATGTCTTGCATGCCAGAGAACTGGCAGGGCCCATGCCCCCCCTGGACCAGCAGCTACTACTGATGCCGTGCTCCTCCCGGGGCATTCTCGTGCCCGTGGGCGTCGATGACGTTGGTTCCAGGTGTGCAACTTGCACGCGTGGGCCAGCTTTTTTTCATAAGTGTAGCTCGCGTTGCAGGGTGAGCCCGCGTTCGCACCACTCCGCCGACCCTGGGGGCGCCTCCGCTGCTGGCGCCTGTGCCCCCGCTCCCATCGCTTTCCTCGCCTCTTGCTTCCGGGCTCCTGTCGCCCGCCTCGGCCCCTGGTTTCAACTTGAATGGCCCTCTGGGCCTTGCTGTCACTCCTTGTATCAGGTTTCGCTCGCATCCCACTTGTCGGCGCCCGTGCTCCTGAGGCCCAGCATCTCGGTTCGTCAGGGCCCGCTGGGCCCCGCTCGATCTTCGCGGCATATCCATTGTAGTCCGATGGGCGCACTCTCTGATTTCAGAGATTGTGTTGTTTAACTTGTAACACCATGATTAATACGCCCCATATTTGTTCGGCGCGCGCCGCGGGCGGTTCGCGGCTGCCGCCGCCGCCTCGCCCATCGCAAATGCATTGAGAGCAGCGGGCACATAGTCGCGCTCTATCTCAGCATCTCCTCTCCTCCTCCCCCCTTGCCACCAGGGGTGGGCAATGGAGGGCGCGACCCAAAATTCAGAGACATCGCGATGCGACCCGGCAGGCCGACGGACAAGTGTCCAATGTTGGGCTCATCCCCCGGACCGGTGCCATGGAAAGCTGGGCGGAAACAACCGAGAGTAAAACCGCGAACGTTTAGTTCCTGCCCACTCTGTCCTTCGATCTTTAAAGAAGCCCTAACCTTAAAAACACGATGGCGACGCAGCCCCACGGAGGTCCCCGTCTTTGCATCAGGGATCATGCACCTGGGCGGTCTGGTTCGACGCACCTGCTAAACCCAATGATACCAGAGAGAAGCCCCAATCATAATCTGTTTAGGGCTGTAGGGCTACAGGGCTATATGGGCTCTTGGGCGCTATATGGGTTATAGGGCGATAGGGATATAGGGCTACACGGCTATAGGGCTACAGGGCACCGGGCACCCGGGCACCCCGCACCTGGCGCCCGGGCACCCACCCAGGCACCCGAGTCACCCGGGCACCCGGGCACCCGGGCACCTGGGCCCGGCCACCGAATCGGCGGCGAAGCCGGGCACCCGGGCACCGGGGCCCGGCCACCGAATCGGCGGCGAACCCGGGCACCCGCGGACACCCGGGCACCCGGGCCGGCCACCAAATCGGCGGCGCACCTCACATACCATATCCGCTAGGACCCCTACAGAGGCAAGCTCCGATGGTGGAAAAAACCCAACACTTAATTGGGTGACCCTCTTGACTTAGGTCTCCTCTCGCAGGATTCGAGTAGGACATCGAGTACACAATTGATCCACCCAAAGCTTCTTTTTTAATCGAACATGAAAACATACAGATACGGTTCGAATATCTACGTGTGTGCCACGAATGTTTCCTAGATTCGAAGAACAACTTTATGTTGGGGTGAATTAGCTTTGTAGTCAGCTCCCGACTCGAAGGGTTAAGGGTCTTTGTCACCGCGAAGCAACATGTTGTGCAGGAACATCGTTGCCGGTGTCGCCGTGGAAGTGATCCCTCCGGGGCCTTTCGTCGCCTGCTTGGCAGCGCGACCGTGAGTAGTCTGGGGCGGGGTTTTGGAACTTGTCTTTTGGGGGTCCAGCGATAACCCGGGTTATCGGGTTGCCCCCCACCGAGGATAACCTAACGTAGCTGGTTGTGCAGGTAAAGGGGGGTCACAGGGAGGTCGCAGGGAACGCTGTGTTCAACGGCGCGGCGGTTTTCGCCACAGCAGCATGCTCGTGTGTTGGGATGCGCGTTGACGAACCGTTGGGACTTGGAGTGGCGCGGAGAGACGACGACAGACGACGACAAACGACGACAGACGACGACGAACGACAAGCACGACGACGACGACGATGACGACGACGACGACGACGACGACGACGACGACGACGACGACGACGACGACGACCGACGTCATCCAAAGGTATTGGAGGTGCACGTGAGCAGCGCGTACACACGCATCGCGTTGTGCACAGGCAGCGAGGCGGTTTGGTGCGCGCATTTGCTGCTGTTGCAGCAGGATGTGTTGTGTACGCAGGCGTTGTAGCGCATGCAAGCATAAGTGCACGCAGCTCGCGCGGTGCACGCGGGCATCGTGATGCACCAGGCATTATGGAAAAGACAGATTTTGTGGTGTGCACGGTTGTTGCTGCAACATCAGTTATCATTCACGGGGGCATCCCACGCATAGTGGTGTACAAAAGCTCTGCGGTGCACCGTGATCGTGGTGTACCACGTGTTGTGGTGTACACAAGCGCTGCGGTGTACACATCCGCTGTTGTGCACACTTTCGCTATGATGTACACAGGCGTTTTGGGCCCAAAAGACGGGACCGTTCCCTGCACAAGAAAAACAATAATTACACATAGATTACATATTGGATTTGATACGTTCGGATCCACGCGATTTCTGGAGTTCGGTCCCGCGGGGGGCCCTGGAAGGTACGCCGTTTTGTGGTGACAAAAGCACTTTGGTGCAAAGGGGCTGTGTTGCACGAGTATGGTGCTAAAGCGGCAACCGTGGTGCACATACGCTTCGTCGTTTACTCAGGCACTGTGTGTGGTGTGTACATAGGCTTGCGGTGCACGCGGCCGCTGTAGTGTACAGGCGGTGTGTTGTACACAGACATTGTTGTGTAGACAGGCGCTGCGGTGTACACAAGCAGCTGTGGTGTACAAAGTCGTTGTGGCGCATGGTAGACAGGCGCTGTGGTATTCACAGACATGGTCGGCCAAAATTGGGGGGGGACAGCACCCCAGGCCAGATAATCAATAATCACAAATAACTTACATACTGAATGTGATACGTTCGGGCCCCAGGGATTCTCCAAATTTGGACCCCGGCGGGACCTTGGAGGTGCAAGGAAGCGTTTTGGCGCAAATGTTCGCCATACATGGTTGTGCACGTTGCCCCTGTGGTATGCACAAGCACCGCAGTGTACACAGGCGCTGTGGTCCACACAGCTGCTGTCGTGTACACAGGCATTGTGGTGTAAAAAGGCACTGTTGTCTACACAGACAGTGCGGTGTACACAAGCAGTTGTGTTGTGCAAGGGCGTCGTGGTGTACTATAGACAGGCACCGTGTTGTACACGAACATGGTCGGCCCAAAATGGAGGTACCTTGGGCAAGAGAAATCACAAATAACTCACATTTTGAATGTGATACGTTCGGGCCCCAGGGGATGTTCCAGATTTGTGCCCGGCGGGACCTTGGACGCTGTGGTGCACGTTGCCCTGTGGTGTGCCCAGGCATCGGGGTGTACACAGGCACTGTTGTGCACGCAGAAGCCTCTGCTGTAGCAGTACCTGTGGTGTTCAAGACCGTTGTGGCTCACGCGTGTTTTGTAGTGCTCACAGGCAGTGTGGTGCGCGCGTGTTTTATAGATTGTGTACACAAGACTTCGCGGCTACGCTCAGCAATCACATTCCGCGCATTCCAATGCGAGCTGTCCAGACATCCATAGGCATTCTCAGACGGCGCCCGCATCGTCGCAGCACCAAAAGTAGCATCGCTGCAGCATCGTTAGCAGTTGTAGGGGCCGCAGCACCGGTGCGCGCGGTCGTATGCAGGGCTGTCCACAGCGCGAAGGTTAGGTTATCGGTCGCCCCCCCCCCTCGGGATAACCCGGGTTATAGCCGATTCAAACAAACGGTCTCTTGTGGGGCATGGTCCCCAGTTTCGGCCGTCCCCATTTCGGCATGCAAGTTCAAGGAGTCATCTTGACGTTCAGGAGTGAGTATTCTCGGAGGGTCTTTTGTTTCGATCCCACCCCCTCCCTTCACTCGGCGGTGGATCGGACTGGTGCTAAAACTCTCGTTTCCTCCTCCTCCCTCTCCCATTCCTCCTCCTCCTCCCCCTCCACCCCCTCCTCCTTCTCCTCCTCCTCTTCCTCTTCCTCCTCCTCCTCCTCCTCCTGCTCCTCCTGTCGTCGTCGTTGTTGCGCCGCGGGTGCCGCGGGGAAAAATGCATTACCCCCTAATAGTGGGACCCCAGTCCGTGAATAAGGCCGCCGAGGAAATAATTTGTTATTCCCTATGGGGGGATTCTGAAGACCCTTAAGTAGGGGTGAGCGCTAGGTGGACCGTGATCATCGCGCGTCGCGGCGGGGGCCAGGGATCGCCCGATCGGTCACCCTTCTTCCATGGGGGTGTCGAAGGGGCGCGAGGGCGCGAGGGTAATTTCCCCCCGCGGGGGCTTCGATGCGCAAGGTTAGGTGACCTAGGTTGAAGTCGGGCCTGTCCCTCTACAGGAGGTATTCAAGAAGAGTAAGACAAGTAGTTTGGTGACGACTTGTCGTGGTCTCTTACCTACTCTGGAGCATGTGTTGGCTAGTTTTACTTCTCTTCAAAATCCGCCTGCAGGAATATATGCCTGACCTACTTGCAATCCGTTTTGGCAGGCCCCCCTTTCATCACAAGGCGGACGTCAACGCGCAGCAGAGGGAGTACGACTGGCGCGGCTGTGGTTCCACTTCGACCGCGTTCGAGCTGGCTCTGCCGTTCCTGATGCAGGACCCCGAGCTGCTGAAGCTCTTCCTGGCGAACGGAGCCGACGCGAACGCCAAGCAGGTCCGCCACATCCATTCCATGCGGACCGACGCTAAGTTCAGCGAGCACGTGCTGCACAAGTGCGTTGCTGGGCGCAACCTCGAGGTGGCCAGGGAACTCCTAGACAACGGGGCCGACGTGAACGCCATCGCGAGGAAGTGCGCCAACAACGAGCGCGGACACAACCAGAGGAAGGAGGAGACCCCGCTGCACCGCGCGTGCGATTCCAGCACGCCAGATTTGGCCATGTGCGCGCTTCTCATCGCCCGCGGGGCTGACTTGAACGTCATGCGCGAGGATCTGGATCAGGTTTAGCAGAAGGCAGTTGAACACCACCGTGCCTGGCTAGTGCCAAATTGCGCCCTAGGGCTGCGCATTGGAGGACCGAGATGGTTTCGGATTCGAAGCGGGCAGGCAAGGATAAGCCAACTCCTTTCCCTGGCTGTTGGTCAGGCAGCACCGCAGCGGCTTGCGGGAGGTCGCAGCGTTTCCATGAAGCGTTTTTTCCTGTTCGTTCCCAATACGCGTGCCGCGCGCAGCTCCTTCGCAGCGCTTCCCAGGCTCGTTACAAGTTCCGATTTCAAGCTGGCAAGCTTCCTGGGCATCATTCCAGGCGCCCTTGCAAGCGCCTTCCACGAGCTTTCCGGCTGCATGGACTGGCTTCTGCGAGAGCAAGACTGCTCTTCGATCTGGGTTTTGGACGCCGCAAGTCGTTTCGCGATCCGTCGCTTCGCTATCCGGGTTTTGGGCGCCACAGCTTAGACAATGCAGACCACGCGGGCCTTGACCAAGAGGATATATCCAACATCTTGGGGCCCAGGATGGCACCGGCTAGGCATGGTGGTGGTGTACAGCGGCTTTCTGCGGATCAGGTGGCGTCTGGAGTGGAGTCCCCCACTGACGACCCGCGCGAGGATGGCTTCGTGTCCAGTGTGATCTGCGTTCCGGCACCTCGGGCGGCTAGAACCACCAGGGCAATGAGATTCGGCATTTTCTTTGGCCGAGTCATTGTGGCAAGGTGAAATTGTTCGAGAGCGTGCCAAAGCGTTTGGGGAAGTTCGCGGCGCCCGATTCATCTTGCGAGCTCGCTAGGTCTCAGAGATCCCGAGCGATCCGTACATGCTCGATTTAGTTTTTTTTCCGCGCCTCCACCTGTTCTTCTCCTCGCCGTTCTCTCCCCCTATTCCTCCAGAGCCGCTCCAGAGGAACGAAAGGAGAGGATGGCAGAGAGAAGCGCGTGCGTAACGCGCACAGGAGTTCGCATGAATATTCATGTTCTTGCGTGGTTGAGCGCGCGCGTTTTCCTGGGGTGGGGAGGGCCCACTTCCTCCTGTGTCTCCATGGACGAAGAACGGTACAACAATTAGCTTTTCCGCCTCTGGGCACGCGCGCCCCAGGGCGGCTGGAAAAGTTATACCCCTACGGTGGGGCGCCCGGACGCTCGCGCCCCAGCCGCCCTGGGGCAGCTTTCCCGACGGCTGACAAGTTTCTGCTTGACTCTTACATTTCCGCCAGCTGACCCTCACGATTCGCAAATCTCAGCACCCACGGCGATGCTGCTGACTGCCCTCCCAGGTGAAGGAGACGGCCCTGCACATGGCAATCCGCAACAGGGCGCAGGACCTCGTGGTGCTGCTCGTCTGCGCCGGCGCCAATGCCTCGTTGCAGCGGCGCTTCAGAGCGGGGGGGCGCTTCAGCCAGGTGTTACCAGCTGTGCCCCCTGGCCTCAACGCTCAGCGCGGATTTCTTGGATCGGCGTCGGGCCCCCCACGCGCCAGGGATGTGGATTCAGAGCGGGTTTCCGAAAGACCACGCTTGTGCGGAGTGTTTTCCATCCGAAAGTCTTCCCAAGATTCCTGGGGGGTCCCAGGAGGCCTCAAGAGCGCCCCTCGCGATGCCCAGCGAGCCTGCGGGGCTGACGAGTGGCGCGGTAAGCCTTGGGCCAGGGCCACTCCTGGCAGCATCCGGCCCAGGATGAAATGTTGGACCGTTGTTCGGCTTCTGAGTGGGAGTTCCACGTTCGCGAAAGCGCAAACATGCATTGAGGCGAGAGGATTTCCATTTGGCCCCGCTTTGTGCCAACATCGGTTCGCGCGGTCGCCAATTCAGGCGGCATTGGCTCCGCGGGCCCGGAGGGGACTGATTCCCCCCGTGCCCGCGTACCAGACCTACGGATGCGCGGTCCATCTCAGCGCGTGCATGATGCGTGGTCACGGTTGGGCGCAGCTCGAAAATCTGGCGAGCGCGGCGTCCACGGGAGGACGAGTTTGAGAGAAAGTGGCTTGTTGCAGGCTCGCGACGCTTCGACGCGGCAGAGACGCCAGCGGGGGCGTTCAAGGTTCAGCACCCTCCCGTGGCCCGTCTCGGGCCGTGGAACCCACAGAGATTGACCTACGATGCGAAGTCCAGACGAGAGATGAGGTCGCCAGCCTCTGAGGGACAAGGACCCCCCGCCCACGGTGGCAGAGTCTTCCCCGCCCCCTCCTCATGCAACCAATCGGGTTGACCCAAAAATGGGGTCCAGCGACAAGGGGGTGGCGCAATAGATCTGGCGCGCTATATATATATATATATATATATATATATTGCGGGGTTGCAACGCATGCGGGGCGTGCAACACATTTCGGGGCGCAAATGTATTGCTGCATTTTCGCGTGCAATACGCGACTTGCAATACAATGCAAGACAATTCTCTGGCGCAAAACGTTTGCAATACAATTGCCCCAAATCTATTGCACCACCCCCTTTCAGCTGGACCCCCTGTTTGGGTCACCAAAAAATACAGGACCGCGTGGGTTGTGCACCAGCACGGGTCATTGTTGGACAGATATGTTGGCCCAGCATCGGTGCATGCGTCCCCCTCGTTTGGCCGGGAAGGCGCAGGTTCCGGCATGTTGCCAATCATGAAATTGGTCAGGAGTTGTGTTTGTGCATAGTCAGTTTCGTGGGCAAATTCTTGAAGTAGATCAGCATATGCCTACCCGATCCTTGCAGGTGCTATGGGGATGTCAAGACATCTTGCGAAGATCTATGCAATGGCGACGAGGATCTTCTCAAGGCCCTGTCGACGGAGTGGAGTCAGGACATCGAGGGAGGGTCCTCATTGTCAGCGTTGTCCTCGTTCTCACCCGTCCCCCTTCCTTAATCTTTTTTCTGAGCTCGTAATTCGTCGCGCGAAACTGTGAGACGTGTCATCCTGGCGGCAAGGAGCGCGACACCCCTGGTTTCGCACGGCATTGCGCCATCGTTAGAGATAGGGGTTCGTGCGAATTCGCAGTCCGTTTGGGCGCGCAACTCACAGCGCATTTCCAAGTACCCGCTCGTTGTTCCACGTCACCCATCCTCCTCGTTCTCTTCTCGCCCGTGCCTCCCCTCGCTCTGTTCCTCCTGCGCGCCCACCGATGTGCGCGGAAGATGCCCCTCCTCGGCTTCCTGATCTTTCTCCGTGCAGTCGGACCGAGGTATAACATCGAGGTCTGTTCGTGGAAGGTACCCGAGTGTTCTTCGTGTTTGCTGGAGGGTAGCCTTGGATGTTCTGCGTTTTTTAGCCATCGGAGGGTCTCGCGTTCTTGAAGGATGTCGTTCTCGCCTAGGTCCAACTGCATCTTCTCCTCCCCCACGATGGTTCCGATGCAAGAATTGCCATAGTTTGCAGAACCCTACAGTCGAAGAAAACATGTACGTACATGTTCGGAGGCCCGCGCGGATACCCTTGATCGGCGCTGAGACCCTTTTGGCGGCGCTGTGGCCACCTCTGGCGCGCTCTCCGCGCCAGGGAAGGGGGCCCAGTGCCGCGTCCGAGAAATCCGCGGAGACCTCCGAAAGTTCAAGTTTATGCGCTTGTCTTCTTCTCCTAGGTATGCCAGATTGCCAGGACGCGGTGGATATGGGCATCGAGCATGTCCGCGCCCTCTGAGTCCTGGGGCCTCAGGGGCAAAGTTCGTCCCATTCGGCAAGTACGTGCAAGCTCTGGCCTCACAAGGCAGTTCTCCCATGTCGGCGCCCAAGGTCACCCCCTCTGCCAGCGCCCCCCCCCAGCAGAATCGGCGGACCGGACCAGTCCTGGAAGTTGCCCCGCACAGGGTTCCGACGCGAACGTTCTCCCCTCTCCCTCTGGTAAAACATGGGGCCTCTTGAGAAACGTGGATCCCGAGGCCGGTCCAGATTCGATGGCGATGGGAGGCCCCCGAAGGCCTGAGGGGGAGTGGGGCAGGACACGCACGTGCAGAATCACCATACACGTTCCTCATCTTATTCGGAGTTTTAGACTGGTGTGTGTGTGGGGGAATCGGCCCTCGCCCTCGCTGCCAAGCCGTGCCACTGCGTACCCAGCGCCCGCTCTCCCACGCGCCCCGCCATCCAGCGGCCACGCTGGCATGGTGACAGCGTGTCGTCCCGGAGCGGGGACTGATTGTTCCTTCCTCAGTTGCAGGCTTCCTTGATGCGGCCATCATAAATGAGGGCAGAGCGCTGCGCCGCATCGCCGACGCATCGGCGATGCGCCGCGAGCCTCATCCCTCCTCCTCCCCCACTTCTCCACAATCACCTTCTCAGTTACCCCAGCTCTGATCGCAAGGACCGCAGCGCATCTCAGCCTCATCCTTGTTCTTCGCTCGTCAACAGGCCCAGACTGTGATAGGCTGGGCGGCGTGTGAACCCCACCACCTCGGACAGTGAACGAGCGATGCGATTTTGCGAGGTCTAGCTTCAGCCAAGCCGACAGCTTGGCGCCCAGCAGGGCAGACTGAGACCACACGCAAGACCGAGTCTTCCTCCTGTTTCTCGATCATCCCCCCTCTCGCTCCTCCTCGCTCCCGTACCTGCCCCCTCCCGAAGCATTTTTCTCTTCACCCCAGCGCCGCCGACGCATCGTTGGCGCGGCGCCGTCGTCCGGGCCCCAGTTGTCGTGCTGCGCGCCGGCGGCATCCAGCGTCCCAGAGCGAGGACAGATGCTCCCAAGTCAGCCGTGGGGGGGGCCCAGGGTGGCCGCGCTCGCGCGCGTCGCAGTCTGGGCCACAACGGCTGCCCTTACTCATATTAGATCTCGCCATCCCTGGGGCGCTGCGGTTTGCGAAGCTGCCGCCATTTTCGACGGCTGCAGTGGGGTGGGGCGGGGGGGGCAGCATAGCGGGCATTCGCCGCAGGCTCACATTGGATCTCGCCATGTCTGGGGGGCTGCGATCTGCGAAAGTGTCGCCACTTTCGAGAGCCGCGATGCGGGAATGAGGTGACCCAGACGTTCTATTTATCCGTTGGTCGGACGTTCAAAGTGGGCGTTTGTGGATGCGAATTCCAGTCAACGTTCGCCGCCTTCGTACTCGTAGAATCGAGTGGTTGTGTTGTTCCTTCCTCTTCAGGAGGCGGGCGGAAGCCCAATTTGCTTCCCGCGCCTTCCTACTTCAGGTGTTTACCTGCTTCTTCCGACCAATGTGCATCCACCCCGAAGCCAGGACGCGCACATGCTCTTCCCCCCCGCGGTGCAGAAGAGCGTGGAGGAGGTATTCCGTATCCGGCGGAGCCAGAACGTCACGTGAGCACGCAAGTTTCGGGTGTCCGCGGGCGGTGTTCCCACCTGCGCCCTCCGCGGACGTCCACTTGTGGCAGAAAGCCACCCGCCGAGCAGCGGTCGTCGGACTCGGACAAAGCAGTTGCTGCCAGATGGGTCCAGGTCAAAGACAAATCCGTCCCAGAGTGTTCCGGAACGCTCCCAGAGCGCTCGGGAACTCTCTGGGCAGGCCGCGGCGCTCGAGGCAACCTTCAAAGCCGACAGATTTCAGAGATTCATTGGCTGACGCCGCACCGCCGACCCCTTGGGGCGGCAGTAAGAAGGAAAAACAGAGTTTGCGGAACGATTTCTGGGTAATCTTGGGATTTCAGCTTCTTGGGATTTCGTTGGGGGCGGTTGGCAGATCGCGGCTCTGCTTTTTGGCTTCGGGGGCCTCGTGGGAGCCTCTTGGGGGCCTGTTGGTGCCTCCTCAGGTTTTTTCGGGGCCGAGTGCTCGAAATGTTCACTCGGGTTTTCCCTCTGGGCCTCCTCTTAGGGTCGTCCTGGGGCCCTCTTGGGTCGTTTTGGAAGCAGCTGGGGCCGTCTTGGGGCCCTCTTGGGCCGTCTTGGAGCCCTCTTGGGGGCCTCTTGGGCTATCTTGGGTCGATCTTAAAGGCATCTTGGGCCGTTGTGGGCGTCGTGAGAGCCCATGGGGCGAATGTGCTAAAATTATACGTTTTCCGTAGGAAATGGGACGAATTTTGCTTCTGGAGGGCCTCTTGGGACGCCTCTTGGTAGCTTCTTGGGGCGTCTTGGGGGCCTCCGCGACCGTCTGGAGGCAGTCCTGGGCGTCTTGGAGCGATCTCTCGGCGACTCGTAGCCCTCTTGGACCGTCCGGGGGGCCTTTGGGGGCCCTCTTGCCCGTTTTGGGCCCCCTGAGGCTCCAAGGGCGCGGCCGACACCTTTGCCCTCCACCCCCTCCCCTCCATTCCGGCCCGACCGGGCTCCCGGGGGAGGGGTTTGGGAAGGGGGAAGCATCTCACATTCCGTGACCCAAAGGGGTCGGCGGATGACGGGAAGCGCGAACGAGGAACGAGGAGCGTGGACCGTTTTTCTTAAGGGAAACCTTTATATAGGGCTCCGGATTGCATCTTGGACGGGCGTTGGCGGATTTCTAAGTTGGCCGTTTTGCTCGGAACATCCTCTAACAAATGGAGTTGGCGTTGGCTCCAGGCCGCCTTTGTGTTCAGATCGCTCTTGGAGCGCCCAAGAGGGTCCCCAGAAGGCCACAGGACGGCTCCAGGGGGCCCGCATGACGGCCCCCAGAGGCCTCCAAGAGCACCCCCAAGAGGGCCCAATTGTCAAATTCCCATCGGAAAACGTATATTTTTAGTATATACGACTTTCTCGTCTTCACGACGTCGAAGACGGTCCAAGAGTCCCCCAAGACCGACCCGCGACGGCCCAAGAGACTCTCAAGAGGCGCCCAAGACGGCCGAAGAGGGCGCCAAGACGGCCCAAGAGGCTCCCAAGAAGGCCCACGAGGGCCCCAAGAGGGGCCCAAGAGGGTGAGCCCGAATCGAAAATCGGAGCACCCCGCCCAAAGACGGCCCGGAGGAGGCCCCAGGAGGCGCCCAAGAGGTCCCAAGAGGCCCCCGAGAGGCCCCCAAAACGCCCCCAAAGGCCCCCAAGAGGCCGCAAGAGGACTCGAAACGGCCCGCGAGAAGCCTCCCAAGAGAGCCCAACGAACTTTCACTTCGTCTCATTCTCAATACCCCGGCACGGTGGCGGGATGGACCGAGGGTCACTAGATGTTCCATCTCCTTATCCCGAATCCGCCGCCCCCTGCTTGCAGGGGTGCACGGCGTGCTGGACGTTTCAGGTTTTGGTTTTGGTTCTTTTTCCAAAAGAACTCCCCAGTGGGCTCCGGCCCGTCCCGCCACCGTGCCCAAAAACGGCCGTTTCGCTCGGGACATCCTCAAACAATCGCGAAGATGGCCCAAGATGGCCTCCAAGTCCGCCCGAGATGGTCCAAGACGGCCTCCAAAACGGCCCAAGAGAGTCCAAGACGGCCCAAGACGGCCCAAGAGGCCCCCCAGAGGCCTCCCAGACGGCCCAAGAGGCCTCCAAGAGGTCCTCCAGGAGAGTCCGAAGAGGCCAAAATCATTGATTTTCCCTTGGTTTTTGAAGGATTTTGGCATTTGCGCCTTTTCGGCTCTCCGACGGCTCAAGACGGCCCAAGAAGCCCCCAAGATCGCCCAAGAGGCCCCCAAGAGAGCCCCCTGATGGCCCAAGTGGCCTCCAAGATGGCCCCTAGAGGGCCCCAAGAGGGCCCAAGAGGCCTCCAACACGCCCAAGATGGCCTCCAAGACGCCCAAGATGGCCTCCAAGACGGCCCTGGAGCGCACCAAGAGGGTCCCCCGTTGGCCCAGAAAGGCCCCCAAAACGGCTCCCGACGGCGTCAGACGTGCCAGGAACCCACCAAGATGGCCGAAGTTCGCTCGAAGCTGGCCCAAAAGGGCCCAAGAGGCCCCCAAGAGGGCCTCCAGGAAGGCCAAAAGATGCCAAAATCACTGATTTTCCCAAGGTTTTTGATGGATTTGGGCATTTCCCTTTTTTCGGCCTTCCGACGGCCCGACACGGCCCAAGAGCCCCCAAAGATCGCCGAAAGATCGCCCAAGAGGCCTCCAAGACGGCGACGATGACCATCAAGACGCTCACGTGTTCCCCGAAGGCTTTCCAAACCGATTCGGGGAACACATGGTCCGATGGCTTGGCAGGTCTGGCCTCAACGTTCGGCCACATAGGCGCTTCCACAAAGGCAGGGGGCGGCGGTGATTCGCCGTAGGCGTCTTCGATTCGGGTTACACAGCCCCGAGACAGCTCAAGAGGGCCCGAAAACGGCGCCAGAGGGATCCAAGAGGGCTTCATGTTACAGGCCTCTTGGACCGTCTTGGGGTTATCGCCGGTCGTATTCAAAATATAATGGGCCGTATTGGAGCATCTTGGAGTGGCCGGAGACGGCCGGAGGCATCCTGGGAATTCCTGGGAGGGGTGAGGGATCTAGTCCGTTTGACCAGATCCCCCCCTGCAAGCCAGCCGGACCGAACCCCAAGGGGACGGCGGATAGCTCGGGATCTTGAAGGTGGACGCGGGGGCCGCGTGGTATCTGACCGCTTGCGCACAATACAAGTAATAGCGGTTCCAGGGCGTGAATTTGGCTGCTATTCAGTGGGTCCTGGTCGCCGAGGCATGAACCCAGAGTACTTTGCAATGGGTCGTGGCCTCGGAGGCGCGTATCGCGTGTACTTTACGAGGGATCTGCGCCTCGGGAGCGCGAGCGTCGTATATTTTCGAGGGATCCTTGACTCGGGCACCGCGCAGTCTCCTCCTGTTCGCACAAGCGTTCCAGTTTTGACGTTCCCATGTGATGCCACACCTGCAACGAACGTTCGAACATTCGCTTCCCGTTCTTGTCAGGTCAGGTTGTGCAGATGTGCTGCGAGAACTGGAAGTCCGAGTAGCCATCAGCGGGCACGCTGTGGCACGTAATCTTTTTCGCGCGATCAATCGCAATGCGCTTTCTTCTGCGCATCAGTCACATTTGAGCGGATGTTCGGCGACGAGGCGAAGGGGTGCATTCTCATCGTGTGAGATGGGAGTTGAGATGGGTGGTTTTCTCCTTGCTTCCACCATGTATCGTATGCTATCATCCCCTGCTCCGTTTTGTACCACTCTCGAACCAGAGAGTTTTTGTTCCATACGTGGCTATCCATTGCCAGCAGTTTTCTCCAGCTGGGCTTCGAAGCAAGCCGGTGCGGGGGCTTCTTAGATGATAACAAATCTGCATTTGAAGTTCGTGCGAGCAGTCAACATTGCATCAGGCAGAGCCTTGGATGACGACAACAGCGGGAAGTTACGTGCGTTCCCCCCGACCGAACGTGGTGACATTAACCTGGTCGGCCTCTATATAACACTGCCGCTGCGTGGGAGTTGCATCGGCTCCTCGATGGGTGCAGTGAGAGCTCCCCTGAGGGGCAGTGGATTGTTTGGTGTCCGAGCTCATCTTTTTGCCAAATGGGTGCCGCGACTGTGTCGGACGGGGCTAGGACGAGGATAAATCCGTTCCAGAGCATTCCGGAAGACTCTCAGAGCGTTCCGGAACGCTCTGAGAAGGTCGCGGCGCCTGCGCCATTCTCCAGAGCCGCCGGATCGCAGAGATTCTCGATATATCCTCGCCCGATGTTATCCTCGTCCTGGCCTCGTCTCATTGGGGCTGGGATCTAAGACAGCTGCCCGCGCTCCACCGCTCGCGTCGAGGGCATCCGAAGCCTCACCCCCGCCCCCGGTTCCGGCCAGGGACGCACGGAGTGCCGCTGTCGGGGGCGCGGAGGGGCCCTGAGCTGTGGTGGAAATCCCGCCTCCGGCTCTTCGAGCTGTCCCCCTCCCTGGGGCCTCGCGCAAGGGGGAGCGAGGGCTGCAGGAAAGGTGCACTTCAGGGCCCCAAAGGGGGCCTTGGGGGCCCGAGAAGTGCACCGTTCTCCCCCCTCCCCTGCGTCGCTCCCCCCTCCATTCAGCGACGCCCCCATCCCTGGGCCAGGGCCAAGAGACGCTCGGGGGGCATAGGCTCAGGGGGGAACGCGTCGAGCCCCAATCGCCCACTGATGTTCGACTGGGGTCTGATACCCGCCCGGGAACGTGTGGACCGCAATCGAGGGGGCTTGTCGCCGACATATCGGCGATGCATCGCCGATTCCATGTCGATGTTCCCCCCTCCCCCTGGGCGAGTCCCCCGTATGTCTGCCCCTCACTGGGGCTGGGGGGCATCTGGAGGGAGACAGTGCTTTACTGACACGCTGCCCTCTGTATCGCTCCAATGATCGAGGGAAGAGTCGCGAGATTTTGTCAACGCATTTCGTAGGCATGGTCCATGCTGGCCGTCGCCGATCTCGCGAGGATGATCCACGAGTCGACGGTGACCTAGATGGGCCGTGACCAAGATCTGCACCGAAGTTTCTGCCTTCAATCTTGGTCATCGTCACCGTCTTCTTTCCCTCCAGGTGATGTTCGATTCTTCGCTGACACTCGTTCGAAGGAGACGTCAACCGGTATGGGTATTCGCAGGCAGGGTACCATTTTGAGATGGCAGCGATTCAGATCAGCAGCACATGGGCCGTTTTACAGGTTCCGCAAGGTTGATGGTTCTTTGGGTTTCGAAGACGCATGACGCCGTTGACGTGCCCCATGTCGCAGCACTAGTACTGACATCGGTGCGGGCCAATCAGAATCAGAGTTTGCGCGCATGCATTTGGTGGTCAGCTGGGATTCGCGCCTTC